GTTGCCTTGTTTAATGCCTGCTGTGTATCACTGCGTGGTTAAAGACTGCATGCCACATGGCCTCAAATTATTGCCCAATTAAGCCAGTGTACAAAAACATCCAATGGGAAGGGTGACGACATTGCTGCTCCCATAGAGATAAAACCACTCGGTTCTTTCTTAGGTTGCTGTTAAATGATTGCAGACTTACTCATACTGAAGCAATATGTCCAATAGCAGTTTCATCTCAAAGATGCCACGGGGTGTAGGGGTGTCAGTCAGCCACAAAACTTTGGTATCAAATTATTCACTGAGTCGACAATAAGCAATATATAAATAAAGCAATGTAATAGTGATCCACTTCTGACAGAAGCCATGATAATTGTAGGTCAGTGGACCAGCGATTCCCTCAAGAACAATATTATCCAGCAGAAGATCCCTCTCTTATCCCAGATATAAAGCTGTGGTGCAACAGAATGAAGTGCAAACCTTGGCCTTTTCCTTTGTCATCTCTCTTAGCAGAGATTTATCAGGGTGAAATAACATCTTATTGAATTGCGTATACCGGAGAAATTGTCCTCACCCAACATTCTTCTCCTCGAGTGCCTCCATTAACCATAGGTTATCCTATGATTTAGCCATTAGCCACAGCCCGACATAACCATTAGTTACATGAATTCTTAATACACATCACATTACCGGTTGTATAAAAACCACTGCAATTTGTCCGCAGACTTCAAATTTGTGCTTTTCCCTCTCAATCCTCCCTCCTCCTTGATGTGACTTAGGTAGCTGGTTTTGGACACCAGTTTGCTGACTGAATATATCCAGCTGTCATGCTTATTTATGGACTTTCATGACATTTATCGTTTACCCAGAATAAACTATTTTTATGGGTGCCATTGTATTGGGCAAGCATTAACATTAGGCAATTCGAGATAGATTTGCACACTATTTGGCAATTCATCTTCCAACTCACAGCAGAGGTGAGGGAGGTTCTAGGAAATAAAGACAGGTTTGTTTGGGATCCTGTTCCCAAGAACAAACCGCGTCAGGTTCGGCACATGATGGTGGAGTTGGTAACCGCCGCACGTTTTGCAGCATTCCTTTCATTAATTCCTGCGAAAATGTACATGCCATTCACTTCCATTGGAGCATGACCCTACCCTCTTCCCTTAAGGCGAGGGTGCAGGGAAACAGTCATGCCTGACTCACACCTTTCCTCAAGCTCCCAACATGACCGAATGTGACGATGCAGCAGTGAATCGACAGGATCCCTGCACCCAAACAACATCTGTTTCATGGGAAGCAGAGCAAAGAAAACACTGATAAGGTAGAGGGGCGGGGGGGTACCATTCATTTAATGTGTAATAAATATAACAGATGAGGCCAAATTAAGTAAATCAAGTGATGCAAAGCATAGCCCCATTCTTTCATAACATATTATTAGTTTGTATAAAACTAATAAGTGCATAGTTATGAGGCATCTGCACTTCTGTGCTTACAATTTGCTATTTCCTCTGAAAACAGCACTTCCTTTGAGGGTATCGGGTAAGTGCTAGCTATAGACCTGTAATTGTATCCCTAAAGGAATGTAATTACCCCATTAGCACAGAGTCAGTTACCTTTAACACTCCAGAGCTGCCTATATAAAGTGTGTGTTCCCTTTACATAAAGTCTCACATGGAGTGAACGCTGAGAGAGCCCAGTGAGTGAGAAAGAAGAGAGGGAAGGAGAGCGAGGAGGCAGGATGACTGGATTGTGAGGGGGGGGGCATATTACCTCCCACAGGGGCCCTGGCTCAGCGGATCAAGTTTCAGACGTTTACCAACAAAGCATCCATGGAGGAAGTCTTGCGCCCCTCACAATAACACCCCAGCACCTGGCTATCCCCACACAGGAAACCTGAGGTCACTTCCTCCCTTTCAGGGAATTCAGACACACTCCTGCTGCCAGCCATGCGCCCCCACAGCATATTGAAGAGGGTACTGACTACCAGGGGGGAAAGACACGGAGACGCACATGCAACAAACTGAAAAGAATGTCTGAATTATGAGAAAATGCACAGCTGAAATCATGTGATTTCCCAGGTTTTCACTGATACAGTTCAAAGAGGTGTGAGCCAGACACATTCTGTTAACACCAAAACAGAAAGAGTTCTAATTTTCCTTGTTTTGGTCATGTAGCACAGATGTGATGTGTTCTTTTTTATCAATATGAAGAGCTAAAATCTGGATTGGGTTGCATTGTTTAATTCTGGTTGGAGCCAAGCTTGAAAACAAGGTATGCACCCTAATTGCTGTGATTAAACTTCTCAAAAGTTTAGCAAAAATTGGGACAAGACACTACACAGAGAAAAAGTAGAAGTGAACAAGCAGTTGATGATAAGAGAGACAAATAAGCAGAAGAAGCATTATAGTCTGAAGTAAAAAATCATCAGATATAGCCAGCATTTTGTAACCCAAAAAACCTGCTGATTGAACGAAGAATGTGTCCTCCGAAAGACAACGGAGGGTCAGACAGCTGCAGAATGTCCAAAGAGAAGTGCTTCAACACAAATCTAAATTCTGCTCCCTAACCACCTGCAAACACTTGACCGCCGGTTCTCCATCATTATCATTGGCCTTGATTCAAACGATGCCAACCCATAAAACCAGCCACAACCAGTCCGAGTCATTTAGCTGCAGTTTAGAGCTGGCCGGGGTCCAACCACCACGCGGGGCTAACCTTTGGAAAACACCGAGACCTCCGAAGAATGTGACCATGGTCAATGAAGCAGAGAGGGAGTGAGGAAGAGGAAGAAAGCAAACAAACACATTATACAGCCCGTGGGCTCTGTCAAGGCTAACTTCCCAGATGCTAAATGGGACAAAATGACTGGCTTTTGGTTGCAAGGGGTTTATGTCTGCTTGTTGCCATGACAAACAGTTTGAGTAAAAATATCTTGTCGGCGGTGAAAGCACAGCGGGATGCCTAAGAGCTCAAATTCCTTTAAGGTGTGACTTCTTAACAGACAGAAAAGAGATCTGCATAATTCAAGCCATAGTTTTAGTAATGGCTTTGACATATAGTTCAAGGAACTGAGTGGTTTTGTACTTCCTATAGAGTTCTAAATCAAACTTGCCTGGATCTCTGTATGTTACAGATCCATTAAAGCTTCACTGATCAATATTTTTACACTAACATATCACGTGACTACATGAAGACATGGAATGCTTAACGATTTACTCATAGTGACAAAAATAATCACCCAACTCTGCAATTCTCCTTATCGCTACAGAGCATTTTAGCATCTTTCATTAGACTATTTGGTTTTTCTAGGGCCTGCAAATGTATTGTTTTTATTCAGTGTCACCGCTCGCGTCAACCTCATTTCCAGCAGCAGCAAATTAGCTCTGATAAATCCACTGTACTATACTTGCCGAGCAGTTAGCTGGTGAACATAGTGGAGCATTCAGAAGCTAAAGTGCCAGATATTTCCCTCAGATGTTGGTAGAGATCAAAACAAAGCTAAAAGGTGGCTGGAGACATGACTTCACTTGAGTGATGGTGTTCGCTCAAATTATAGGACTAAGCGGTTTCTTCAGTATCTCATACGGACTGTGGATGTTAATATATTGTCAGCACAAGAAGCAAATGTTGTCATATGCTTAAGAATCAACTGAGAAGTCTAATGAGATATTAAAAACCGAATTACTTTACTGTCTCTAACAAGTCTGAGAGCCAAGTCAGGTATCATAACATCAAATCTTCTTCCAACTGGAACTTCTTTTAGTCTTTTTGTGAACTGTAGACAAGCTTAAAAGCAACATCCATCTCTATTTTTTCACTATCCCCAAACGTATTGAAGAAAAGACGATACATTCCCAAAACAACATGTAAGATCTTGATCAAATATTCTCTTTTGGCAAGTCCCAACACTTGACTTTCCCAACGTGCCCACTGCGCCCAGATGACGCAACAGGTGGAACAACAAACGACTGTCATTATGATGATTCTACTACTACTATGCGCTGTGATGTGATGATGTACGGCCAAAACAAAACCAGAAGCTGCAGCACAGACACACCCTTCCCAGATGCACGCTGCCATATCCCACTTCCTGCTGCCGAAGAAAAGACAAGATTAGCTTGAGGGACTTTGCTCTCTGAGGCCTTCACACGCCGCTCAGCTGGGAGCTTCTGTGACACAACAGTTGTTCCTTAATCCTTCCTCCACACAGTTGAATGACTCACACGGCCCAATAATACTGTCTGTTCCTCCACTGATGGGATACTAGCATGAGTGCAGGTGTGAGACTGTGATTAGCGTGGCAGAGAAAAGAGAAGAAAAAGACATAAACACGGGAGGCAGAAAAACACAGAGGCAGACAGAAAATGTCCAGACTCCCTCTCTTGTCACAGGAAGTGGGTCCTCTTTCGTCAGGGCTTTACTCCCCAGGCGACATGTTTGACTAAGGTGTGAAGCATCAAGGCTCGTCATAACGTCAGGCCCACGCCTGCTTTAATCTTTACACTCACAGATGTTTTGCTAAACTCTCAAAATTCAAAGTATAGAAAAAATATGATCTTAAGGTGTTAAATTATATGTTTACAGATCATAATTACTGTGTTAAATGACATGTTTACGGATTACTGTGCAACTAACCATACTGCCACTACTAGTGATAATAATAATAATACAAATAAACATATGAAAATGATTTCATAAAAGGCTGTTATTTCCATTCATTCTAGATTCAGATAGTTATACTATTGTCGTCACAATGTTTGAAATTAGCAAACTTCAGTGATTCTTCATGCCATTCATTTTCATTGGAAAACCATAACCACAATCATTATGATGCTTGAAATGAGATTTGCTGATACACTAGTTTATTTTCCCATCAAATAAAACATTTTTTCCCCGAATATTTGACGTAAAAAGAGTTTTCATTGATTATGAAACCCCCACTGAGGTCGAAGAGCCGGACACAGACAACGTAAAAAAGTCTCGATAGTAAATAAAAAGTGGAGTCCTACCAGGAGTACTGTCTGAAGTCTGGAGGCACCTTCTGCAACTTGACAGCGCTAAGCCGCCTCCCTGTCTCTGTCAGCGGACACTCGCTCAGATCAGGACCGGGATCAGTCTGCAGGTCGCTACTCCGGCGGCTCAGCAGCGTCGCTCGGCAGCTGTAAAACTTTTGTGTGTGTTTCTTCTGACAGTAGTGAAAATCTCTGCGGCAGAGAGTGATGCAGTTTGCCGGCTACATTTGTCCTACTACTGAGGAAGTTGCTGGTGAGTCACAAGATCCGCCCCCCCCCCTCCCCAAAAAAGCCAATCCTCCCTCCCTCCCGCGACTTCAAACGAGACCAGAGAGAAGTCCAGGCGGTGGAGAGTGCGATGGGAGCTCCCAGCAGGGCCCTCTGTCTCCGTGGTGCGCGTTTATTTTTCAGTCTATTCTAACAACCAGTCTGTGTGGTGAGTATTGGTGGAAAGGAAGAGCCTGCTTTATTATGAGATTACTGAGTGTTAACTGCTTCCTGCTTTTAAGCTTCGTTAATGAAGTTTATACGCTTTCAGTAAATCAATTAATCAATCATCTTCAAGATAGCCAATGAAAAACTACAGGTTTTTTCATCTGGGTTCAAATAAACCCTTTTCTGTCAGAGAGCCCTGAAGACAAACTTCTCACCTGTGAATCAGAGATAGTGGTCGATTGATGTATGAGATTAATCCCTCACAGCAATGGGTTTTGTTCACACTTTACTTGGAAAGTCTGAATCTTTACAATCAATAAAAAAACAATTTAAAGGATTTAGAATGAGAAATAAGTTGCGTGGGTGTAGGTTAGATTGTAGGTCATGGTTAGGTTTTTAAGGTTCAAAATCAGATTTAGTTGAAGGATCAGCATAAATTAAGGTCAGGGTTAAATATGTAATATATTACATGTTTCAAACAAGATACATATTCTAAGGGAAACATTAAATTCATATACATATTTGAGCATTAAATTGGTGAAATTGAACCGTTTTTGTATAAAATAAAACCTCTATATGACTTTTCTCTCTTTTTTCCCTTATGTACTTTGTCTCAAGTGACCTTTGATGACTAACCTTTGTATGCCCTGACATTACCAAACAGGGTTAAGACCAACCCAACTGTTTGATTTCGCTTCCCTGTTCTACAGCATGGGTCCTTTTCTCCAGTCCAGGATTTCTACATCTTACCATTTGAGTCATTATTGTTAATCAGTGTGTAACCACAGTGTTGTTGACAGATAGCATTGTTCTACTTCTTTTACAGCAGATAGTTTCTATTCAGCCCATTCTAAATCAAACCTGTTTGAATCTCTGCATGTTAAAGTTCAATTAAAGCTCCATTAATCAAGTTTTATATTCACAATGATTATGTGTAATGTTAAACGGGTTATGGTGACCCCACAGATAATTATCAACAGTTCCCCTCATCTCCACTGAGAATGTTACTGTCTTTGAACTGGCTGTTTGGGTTTTCTGGCCTGTGACTGTACTGTTTTTCTTTCTTGTCAACCTCATTTCAAGCAGCAGCTAAAAAGCTCAGATAAATCCACTGCACTCTACTTGCCGAGCAGCGAACAGTTTGCAACTAGCTGGTGAACATAGTGAAGCACTGAGAAGCTAAGAAGCCAGATATTTCCCTCAGGAGTTTGTAGAGATCAAAACTAAACTAAAAGGAGTGGCTATTGGACTTCCATTTTCCACTTCACATGGAGGGTAATGTCAGCTCAAATTCTAGGATTGACAGGTTCTTCAGTTTCTCAGATCGTTGATATTAATATATTTTCACCACAAGTAGCAAATAATTGTTATATGCTTAAGAATGAACTGTGATGCTGAATGAAAACTTGGTCCATCTGTAACACAACAAAAGGGTCAGATAGTTTGAAGTTACTTTAGTGTGACTGTATTATTGTAGAGGTTTCTACACCCTTCAATCAGACTTGTTCCAACAACACTACAGTGTAGGTCTTGTGGTAATGGTATGTTGTATCGGCACAAAATAGCAGCCACCAACTAACAAGTTCCTCTACGTCTAAACGACAAAAAGTTAAAAAGGGGTCAAAAGGCTGTGTGTGAGTGGCTTTAAAAATAACCCCAAAATAAAAAAAGAATACTCTCATGTCTGTCTGATAAATATGTAAGTTGCAGTTAGCCTAACTTGTCTTTGGAAATGCAAAAGCAGCTGCAAAGTGTGACATGAATATCTCATTAAACGCAGAAGACCTTTACATGCAACTGTCCAAACATGTGACTCTTGTCTTTCGTGGTCCTGCGACAACTGAATAAGTGGTCTGACCCCTGTATTCCCCACAACCCCTTAATTATAAATTCTAATTTTACACACTGAGGCGTGGTCCTGTCAGACTGCGTGCAACAAATTAGAGGATAGATGCCTGTCACTTCATCATGGGACAAATGGCCTGATGACTACCTTACTGTTTCTTTCTCTGTCAAAAGGTTAAGGGAAGCTTTTTTTAGTTTTTGTAAAACAAGTTAAAAGGTTTATAGAGGTTAACTGACAATAAGCATCAGTTCAAAGTGAGAACATTTACACTGAAGTGAACATAAAAGGGGTGAAAAAAACCAAGTATAAAAATGGAAACTGCAAAATAGTACTTTGCTAATCAAATGTAACTTTATTTAAGATATTTTCTAAGAATTCAATTCAATTTAAAACCTTCCTTTTGAAGCAGCGTATGAACAGTGATGTTGACAACTCATGACTGTCATGCAGCTAAATAAAGTTCAAAATAAATTGTAAAGCTTAAACTCTTTTCTTGGATGTTTGGTTTTGGAACACCTGAGTGAAATTAACTCTAACGAGCATCATGGCCTTGAGCAGCTGCAGACTAATGGGCCACTTCAGTTGTTAAAAGTCCCAGTAATAAGCAGGTATGCTGCTAAGATGTACAAAAAGTCACATAATCAAAGGGAGTATGAATAAAGACAATGCATTTGCAATGTGTTTGTATCTTTAGTGGGCATGCTGGCTTTTAAAGAGACGATCAAGACAGACTATCAAGACACCATCATCAACTGAAAGATCCCTCTTCACAGCTGTGATTGTCTGGAGTATAAAACAAGTCACGCTATAATAGACACTTCAAATCTCAAGCAAGGAAAATAAGCACTGCATTAGCACTTAATTGTAGACAATTTTTGTTTTACAAGAGTTTGTGGTGATGCTGAGAATCCCACCCAGTAGTGCATCGAGAAGTACCGGGGAATATTTGGAGCTAAGGCTGGGAATGTCCAACAGCCAGTGGTGAAAGACGTATTCAGACCCTTGACTTAAGTAAAAGAACAAAAGAAGTATCAAAAGTAAAAAAGGCCCATGTGAATGTAACATTATTTTATGTTATGACATTGTTAATACTAATGCACCAAGGATGTTGTAGTTGGTCGAGGTGGAGCTAAGTTTTAACTGCTCATATATAGTTCAGTTTAGTGCAGTGGAAGAGTTTCTTCAAGTAGAATCTTTACATTACATTACAGTCATTTAGCAGACGCTTTTATCCAAAAGCAACCTACAATTCAGAGTCTATCACATTTCTACACCGTAGGCACAGCTACGGGAGCAATTGTGGGGTTAAGTTTCTTGCTCAAGGACACATCGACATGCGACTAGCAGAGCCGGAGCCAGGGTTTGAACCGCCGCCCCTCTGATTGAAAGACGGCCCTGCTATCCACTTTCTTAATCTGAAAAGTGATTAGTGACTTTATTTGTCAAATAAATGTAAGAACTAGTATTTACTAGTATTTACTTCTGAAATGAAGTGAAGGACATTAAGTATAAATTAGCAGGAAATGGTTAAAGTAGCAGTGCCTCAAAATCATACTTAGGTAGGTTCCTCCACAGCCAACGTGTGCCTTGTGTTAATTTTAAGCAATGCACCTAAATAATCTCACAGGAGGAACTTCTCGCTCATGCATTTTTCAACTGGGCTGCCCTGGTGTCTCGCTGCAGATGAGGACCAACCATGGTCAGGGGAGACATACCAAAGCCCTGAGCTCAGCCCAAGTGCAGCAGTCTTAGAATATGTCAGCAGTGTTATTTTTACAGGGTCATATTAGAAAACCAAATGGTCCTGCATCTGCTCCACAAGGGCATTCCTTCATTGCTGACCCTGAACAAACCCACAACCTCTTGTCCTCCGGCTCTTGCATCAGCTTGCTTACAAGCCCCCGAATTTCCAAAGTAGTATTTACCCCTGTCGTGGCTCACCAGGCATTTCACTTGTAATGATAAAGACTCCCATGAACTAAACAGCAAGGAGCCAAATAAGTCAGAACGCAGACATTTTACCCGTAAATCCTGGCTGCGGTCTGTGCGTAGTTAAACACGTTAATGGTTGAGTGGACCAGTCGGGCCTTGGGCTGAAACCTTCAGAGGAATCGGGGTCATTAGCCATCAGACTGATAAACAAGCCTGTGACATAATGTGGAAACACTGATCCCATTCATTGGTCTAATCACCCGCAAAACATTCTGCATGCCGGGCAAATCTCACACATATAAAACAAATTCCTCGCGGTTGGTGAGGGGATAGTGAGCAGCCATAGGGGGAAAATGTCTGTTTAGTGGAATATCACTCTCTGTCCTAAAGGCTTCTCCTCATATCCACAAAGAGTTGGGAGTCTGGGTGAGATTAGGGGACTGGTGCCATTGTGGCTTTGTCTTTGTCTACCCGCTACCCAAAATATCATGTCAGGAAGTGGATAGTCTTTTCCTCCAGTGTAGAGCGATGACCCCCTTATCGTCCAACTTCCTGCAGAACTTCTTTTTCTCTCTCTCTAAACGGAGAGAAAAAGTGTGTGAGAAAGTTTTAAGGAATATTACAGAGTTTCTTTGTAATCTCTTTTCGGTCTATTGGTCTGGACAGGAATCAAAACAGGGGCCTGGAACCCCATCGGAAACATGCAATAAATGTCCTTGTTGGAAAAACATAAACTTGTTACCAATTAGTGTTAACTGTGCACTCTGGCAAATGCAGGCCCTCATTATAATTACCTAAATAATTTGGTGAATGAACAGTGCAGTCCAAACACATGAAGTCAGTAGCACTGTGATGACCCTCAATTGTTCTAAGCCGATCTTGTGCCAAGCCTGGCTTGTATACAACTTCTAAATGGCAGATAAATTGCATCAGTCTTCTACTTAAATGTAATTAAACTTTCTTCCCATCATCCATAAGACTTTTGTGGTCTTGAATATCTAAAGCCAGATTAG